CCCCCGGCTCAAAAAGGTTGCCTACCCCTGAGCTAGACCAACTCTAACTTGTTTCTCACCAGCCTCAATTTATCACCCTAAACTGGAAAAGGGGAGCTGCCTTGAACCAAATAATCCATTTAGTTCATGACTGTCTACACTGACTGGCAAAGACTCTCCAGGGTTTTCTGTAAGATCTTTCCCAGTCTAAACCTGGGACCAGTGACATGCAAAAGAAGGGTTCCTCTAAGCTACAGCCCTTTTCCTGATGCATGGCCTGGAAAAATTCATTTTAAGGCCATTTGAGCCCACTACGTTTTTGAAGCTTCTTGAACAGGAGTGCATTCCACAGCAGAGCTTCAGATGTTTTGGCAAACAATTCTAACAATGCACTCCCAAGGAACCGTAGGCCCATCTGAAGAGCCAAAATTTCCTCCTCTCCTGCAATCTACAGGGATTTATCTGCATGTAGAGCTAGCATGGCTCAGTGGTTTTAGTGCTGGACTTTCGCTTTGGAGACAAGGGTTCGATTCCCCAATCAGCCATGAAACCCACTGGGTGACCTTGGGTAAGTCGCATGCTCTCAGCTTCAGGGGAAGACAGTGGCAAAGTTCCTCTGAACAAATCTTGCCAAGAAAACCCTATGATAGGGTCACCTTAGGGTCACCAGAAGTCAGAAATGAATTGAAGGCACATAACAACATTAGCAATTTCAAACTCCCCCCTCCTCTGCCAGTAACATCAGGCAGTAAGTTTTCTCTCAGCTTGCTCCTTAGGGAAGTTTTTTCATTACTAACTTTGCCTCAGATACAGGCAATTCTCAAAACCAGTTTGAGGAACAGACTTGTTCAGTATATCCATTTGTATATTCATCACATATACAGATGTCCATGTCCATCAGATTCCCTTTGTCTGCACCTACAGATTTATTTGCATTTGCTGTATGGAGGTGGACATCTATCCATAGATGCCTCCTCATATGCTTACATGATTTTGCGTATTTAGATCAACAACACTGGTTCTTAATCTTTGGTCTTCCAAGTGTTTGGGACTTCAACTTCCAGAAGTCCCATTTATCTTGGCCAAAGGTAAGACACTAGGGGAGCTGAAGTCCAAAGCATCCGAAGAACCAAAGGCTGAGAACCAGCAATCTACATAATGCCAAGGGTGTGGAACCTTTTAGCCTGAGGGTTGAATTCTGTTTTAGAGAAATTCTTTGGGGCCACATTCCAGATTGGGGGGGGGGGGGAGACCAAAAAGACCAGTATGCTTTAGCTTCAATCTTTTGGTACCAGTAACTAAGAGAGGTGTGTCAGCCAGGTGGAATTGGGAAGGGGCCCTAGGGAAAAGCTAGAAAAACCCCACATGATTAATGTCCCAGTGAAGGGGATGTGGGAACCCCAATGAGCCACACTGAGACCCCAAAAAGAGCTGGATTCAGTCCCAAGGCTGGAGATTCCTCACTCCTGATATAACTTATACATACGACATGCACAAAATAGGCATTTAAATTGGAAATGACTTGAAGGCACACAACAACAATATATATAAATGCACATATCCATTGCCTTATTTGTGCATCTCTGTCTCTTTAAGGATGACTGCATTCATCCTAGCATGTACACTTCGGTGTGTGCCTATCATGACATGTGCATGCATCTGTGTTCCATTCACTGCCATGTGCTCATTTCCATAGGCACTGAAAGGCTTGTGCAAATATAGAGCTGAAAAGAGGCAGCAGACATGGTGTTGGGTTTGACCTGTGTGGGCTTGGATTCCCACTGAATCGTGGCCCATCCAACTGGGATGGACAGATATGGTCTCAACTCATCCTAGCTTATCCCTGTGCTCTTGAATGGTTATGGCTGGTCCAGGTTCAGCTTTTTAAGGATAAAGCTGGTGGTACCCACCTCCATTGTATATTATGCATACATGCATACCCTTCTTTGCCACAGACAAACCTGCATGTGTATGGAGCAGGGAAGAGGTTTAACACCTGGCCTTGGAGGAAGAGAAGAACTGCAGTATCTGATGAACCTGACCCCTTTCCCCAGTGCCATTCATTCCCTTCTCCTTCTGTGGACTCCATCCCCTTCCCCACTGCCATTCCCTTCTCCTTTTTGTGCCCTATCTTTTTTTAGATTATAAGCCTGAGGACAGGGAACTGTCAAATCAGCAATCTGTAAACCGCTGGGGTATAAAGACA